AAAGGGAGAGCTTGCATGTATGGTGGAAATCCTAGGTCAAGTCGATCACTTCACGGCTTGACGACGGCGGGACGCGAATGGGGGACAGCTCGCGCTTGACAGCCCTCTTCGCTCGCTTGGCGGCTTCTGCGCGCTCGAGCCGTTGTTGCATCATCGCCATTTGTTCCTGGCAGACGGGTTAGAGAGTATCTGGTAGAACAGCATGGATAATCCAGACAAACCCTGAGGAAAGTGATGTCGTCGGCATCGTCGTCGTCGACCTCGTCACACTCGGCTGACTCGGGCTTGACGGTGGCCGGCGAGTCTTCACGCCGCCGCTTGCTCTCGCTCGCACCGGTTTCCTCGAGTATCCCGTCCAAGTCAGCTGCGCGCTTTTTGCCCTGCGAGGGCTGGGGACTCGCGTGAGGCCGTGGTGCAATGTCCATCGCTTGCAGGAGTGCTGCAGATTTTACCTCAACAAGCCATGCTGGGCAGCTGAGTGCTAAGACCCACCTAGTGGCCGATAGCGGAATATGAATGTAACAAATGGTTCGCTCTCCTTCCCAATAGGGTACCAGCCGTTGCGTACGGGCACCTCTTCCACTCGGCCTAAACTGCCATAGGGGATGCGATGGCTCTTGAACACAATCAATCTTCCAAGGGAGAGAGAGCAGACGCGTACGATACCGCATGTGCTCCCGCCTTCTTGCTCCTCTCGTGCACAGGCCCAATCTCCTTGACGTTTATGAGTTCTGCAGGCCGTTTCATGCGCGCAAAACCTTGTGTCCGCGTCATTGTGACTTGAATTGTGCCAAGGTCTTCGGTAGCACCGGAAGTTGCGAGACTGTCATCGTCTGGCAGACCACTACGAATTTGCACTCATACGATATCGCTAGGAAGAAGTTACGCACCCGTGAGGACTACGGGTGAGAAAACAAACGTCTGTCGCTCTCCGAGTCCAATTCTAGCGCCTTCACAGGAGACTTCATGCGTTGCTCTATGAGCTCTTCGGTGGACCAGTCGGCCATCCATGTAAATGAATACGTCCATGCAGGTTTGAGCCGTGTCGTCGCGCCAATGTACAGAAAATTCCTGCGTTGTGACGATCGTGAGCATACAATCCTAGCTCAGGGAGTGCCCGCACCTGAAGTTTGCATTGAGTACGTTACCTTCCCTTCCTCACTCGCAATCCAGCATGAGAGCTTATTGCCGTCTTCGACGTGTGTATCGTAGAGCTGCAGTTCTTCCTCTCCGCAGCGTATATAGGCGGAATAGTCTCCGTACTTCAGCCGCCGCATCGCAGGCGCAAGTGGGGCACTCGGAAGAGGCGAATCTGATCGAAATGCACCTGGACGACACTTAGGGGCGGACGAAGCGGAGGCAGAATTCTAAGGCAGAGGACAGAAGTACATACACAGCGTCAACGCCGATGTTGTTGTCCGGGGGAATCAGAGGTAGTCTGTACTTCGAAGCGATCGGACTGTGTTGGCATTCCCCGAACGCCGAGCCAATCGTAGATCGGGTGAAGGATCTCATAGTGCATCAGCTCACCGCAAGGTCACTGTACTGTACTTTTAGCGAGCAGGAAGGCACCTGCTGCGCCTTTATATCCTCCGGTACACTGAACAATATCCCCATAATTTGCCTTCAATCAATCCACAATATGCCGCCCTCGAAGTACCGAATATTTGCCCATCAATATGCGCCTACGACCTCAAGCACCGGAGCAGTGACCTCGCAGTCGGACTCGGAAAAGAGATAACTTCTGCAAGGTCCCATGGAAGCGGCCGACGGACCACTCATGACCGTACTCGGAGACCTGTATGATAGAGCGCCTGGACAAGGATACAGTACACGATAGCAGGTGACGGATAAGGCAAGAAACCGCGACATGTCCATGCAGCGACAGTAGGGAATGAAGAAGACGCACAGCAACAAAGCGACAAGTCTTTAAGTCGTGATAGCTCACTAGGTGAGGTCGATGACTTCGTTCTGTGAGACGGCTGGGACGCAGATAGGTGACACCTCGCGCTTGACAGTGGGACGGGCCCTGCGTGCTGCTCTAGCCTCTTCCAGGCTCCTCTGGAGTATGACCATTTGCTCCTACATGCAAGAGCAATCGATTTGCATGCCAGACAGTTCGCGTGAAAAGGCACATACCTCGAGGAATCTCACGCGATCGGCTTCTTCATCGTCGTCTTCTGAAAGAACCTCCGCTTTGACCGCAGATTGGGCAGTACGCCGCCGCTTGGGCATGTTGGGCTCGGCAGCTCCACGAGCATCGGCGACGTCTGAGGAGCGTTTCTTGCCCTTGGTGGGAGTCAGAAGTAGTGGAACTATGCCGTTTGCTCGCAGTAGCTCTGCACTTCGGTATCAGAGAAGCACCACAACATGAGGAACGCAGTGAACGCACCGATTGGTCTGTACCGGAAAATGAAGGTGGCGAAAGGCTCCTTCTCGAGTCCGATTGCGTCAACAACATACGACACTGAGGTGGTGGTCTCAATTTCTCCTAGACTGAGGCGGATCAATAGTCCAGTTCAGAGAGTGACAGCAGCTTGGCGAGTTCATACTCTGAACAGCAGTGCATATGACTTACGCAACAGCGTGGACTCCAGCCTTCTTACTCCGCTCGTGCACCGGGCCCAGGTCAACGACCTTCCGTCCGCCAGGAAAAGGCTTGTGGCTGGCCTTCTTGTATCCTTGTGCGCGTGTCATGGTGAGCCGGATCGTGCCCAGCTCTTCACTGACTTTGGAATGCAAGGCTTTGTCGTCGTCTGATGACCCTCCCTATGGTGAGAGAGGCACGCATACCCAGACTGTATTCGCTTACCTGTGAGCATTAGGGGTGCGAAGGCAAACCTCCGGACCTGATCCGGACCCACATACGCATGTGTGAGGTGCTCCGCCTTTGATTCGGAGTGTTGGACCCGATCGACTGAGCGGCCATCCATGAAGACTTCGACATCCATGAGGGTCTTAGCCGACTCATCTCCCCAGTGCACGGAGAAGTTCTGACACCCATGGGTTAATAGACGTGACAACGAGGTCGAGGAGGTATGGTTAAACGGCCTCGTACTGACGGGGCTCACCTTTCCTTTCTCACTGGCTATCCAGCATGACACGGTCTTTCCACCCTCTATTTGGACATCATAGGCCTTAAGTTCTTCCCCATCGCAGCATATATGCGCAGTGTAGGCATTCAGATTGAGAGGCATGGTGGTGAGCAGCCGAGCAGATTCAGCCGTTGTATCACAGCAGTGGGTGGACAGACAAGGCGCGCGATGTACTTGTGAACTTGCTGATTGCAGGTTTTGCGGGGTGAGACTGCATATACTGAGTGACTATCCGTAAGGGGTTTGGATACCACTCTAGAAAATCCAAACCCCGGCAAAAGCAAATGTGGCTACCGGAGTACCACATTTTCAGACTCCGACATAAGTTCTAAAGGACGCTCCACAATTTCTTGACCTGGAGATTTGGAAAGGGGGGGACCCCCTTTCCAGATTTCAAACTCGGGCTGAAAGACCTGCGTGACGTCACAAAAACAGCTTTTGCACGCCTCACCTGCTGGATTTGACAGCAGGCTGCGAAGATCTGAGATCCTGGGTTGCTAAATCTACTCGTGGGCGCTAAAAGTATGGAAACGCCCACCCAAATCGGGATTATATTTTCTCAGGCCTGGATTTTGCCATATATCATGGCTCCTTCCAATGATCTCTCGCCATTCAAGTATATGAATGAGTATGTATTGTATGGTACATTTGGTGCCTAGTTTACTGTCCGTGTACAGGAGATATAGAGACAACCTTGATCCTGGTCTCCGATGTCTCGCGCTTGGCCATCTTGTTATGTGTTCATGCTTGCATGGGTTCTGTTGTTCCCCCAAATGACCTCAGGTATGGGTAGACCCAGAGGGAACCTTGCAGCTGGTGTGGTTAGTATAAGCCAGGTTGTTCTGGTTGGAATCAGAGCAGATGAACTTTGAATATCTTTCGAGGCTTGGTTCCCAATTGCTGACATGCTTCAGTAAAACCATATAAACCTGTGAGAATTCCCGATTCATTGAATTTACACAGATGCAGAATCAGATGGGTCAGAGGGTGCTAAATGTGGAAGGCCGGGCTCAGAAGTGCAAGAGAAGGATTGTTACACAATATGTTAACTAGGTCGTACACAACAGGGTAGGTTATCTACACATCTCAGAAGTTTGGCCAATTTACTTCTGTCCAGGAAGACCAGACTCGTACTGAACACAGTGGCTGTAAGGTGGCCTCTGGGTGTACCCATACCTGAGGTCATTTGGGGGAACAACAGAATCCATGCAAGCATGAACACATAACAAGATGGCCAAGCGCGAGATATCGGAGACCAGGATCAAGGTTGTCTCTATATCTCCTGTACACGGACAGTAAACTAGGCACCAAATGTACCATACAATACATACTCATTCATATTCTTGAATGGCGAGAGATCATTGGAAGGAGCCATGATATATGGCAAAATCCAGGCCTGAGAAAATATAATCCCGATTTGGGTGGGCGTTTCCATACTTTTAGCGCCCACTAGTAGTATCTAAATTCTAGAACTTTGGTATCTAAAACAATACTCCTGGGGGTTACGGTTTGGTTCGACTAGATCTTTGGCGGGGCCCTCACACATTTCAGGTTCCGCAATCTGGCAAATCCAGGCTCATAACGGTTACGGATAGTCACTCACTGAGTGCCAATGTCGTAGGTGTTACTGCTACAGAGTTAGGCGTGCGCACGGGCAGTGGCCAAACGCAGATACAGAAGCAGACGAAGACAATGGGCCGTTGCCAGATCCTCCCGCGACACCAGGCGACACCGGGCACAGCAAAGCTCAGATCTGGATCAGATCGATGCAGACGATCTGTAGGCGCTCAGGCACAAACCTTCTGTCCACGATTTTGGGCTGAGGCTTCAGGCAGAACCTCCCCAAAAATGACGGTCGAGGATGCTGCACTCTTGCGTCAAAAAACACATCGTACGCGTCCAGTTAGCCCACCGCGAGGGTCGAACTCGCAGCCTTCAGATCACACTCGGGGGTGTCAGAACGCATCCGCCCTAAGAGTCTGACGCTCTATCCGATTGAGCTAGGCGGGCGGTGCTCATAAAGCTCGAGTCGTGTAACGCAATGGGAGTATAGCTTTCAGTCAATGAACAAAAGTCAAGGAAAACCTCATGGTATGAATTTCTCCCTCGGTGACCTTCATGCTGCTATGAATATGTGGAAGGAAGTTGACTTGGACTTGGGCCCAGTGGCCTCGTCTGCGGCGGGAGATGCCGTGCTAGATCGGATCTGCAGTGCAGTAGCCTCGCGGCTCGCGGTTCCTCCCAGCAAGGGTAAGCGCCCATACTCGAATCTGCTTCTGCATTTGCCGGTGTTGTAAACTGCCCATTCCCTTGCGCTTGAATACTCCTCTCTCCCTTACACAGTCATCTATCCAAAGGATATGTCTACGATCTTTCTTAAGATCGAGTTCGGCGGCGGCCTGGAGCTGCTCTTCTCCAACCAGCGCTCGCACCGCGTCACGATTCCGGCTCTTGTCCCGGCCTCCTCTGGCGAGACATCAAACGAGGAGGAGGCTCCGAAGAAGCCCGCAGACCTATCGTATCTGATCTCGTGGCTGAAGGATAACTTGCTAAAGGAGCGCGCGGAGCTCTTCGTCGAGAACGGGACTGTGTGCGTTCATTCATCTTCTCGAGCAATGCGTTGAGGACTGACATCCTCGGTAATGGGGATAGGCGGCCGGGCATCCTCGTCCTTGTGAATGACGCGGATTGGGAGCTCGAGGGCGAGGGCGAGTATCAGCTCAAGGACGGCGACGAGATCGTCTTCATCTCGACTCTGCACGGAGGCTAGCTCGCGGATCCATGAGATCAACGGCAGAGACCCGTCTCTTACAGACGAAAATAGGCCGCGCAAGTGGTGGGTGTACTGATTCTTGTCATTGGCGAACTTGCTGAGATCCATGATTTACCATAGACCTCTGTCCCGGACGACCGTCCGCCGAGCCCTCCCCTGTATGCGCATCAGCTGCTCGCCGTATGGCTCATACACGTCGTCGCACTTTAGGGCACACGGAAAGCATGTCATGTCAACGCAACGCTCGTGCTTATTGGAGGAGAATATACTATACAGTAGCACGGCTCTGTCACATTCGCATGAGGGGAGGTATCAACATGTATCGTCTACGAATGACGAACCGACATGCACATCGACTGCACGTTCATGTACTAGAGCTTGAGCCTTTTGACGACGACCCAAACAGCCCACCGAACCACCCGCCCCGTGAGTTGCTCTGCTCCGACGCTGCCGGGGCCTGCTTCGTTTGGAGTTCCTGCTCAACCTTCTCCATCCTGTCGGCCTCCTCCGCCGCGCGCAACCGCGCCTCAAAGGCAGCGCGCTCGAGGACGCGCTCCTGGTCCGCGGCGGCAGCTGCCTCCTTTTGGTGCTTCATCTGGCCGTACCACCATGAACCGCCGACGACCGCAACGATCGTGAGACCTTGCATGACCACACGGACGCGGAGCCAATGGTTGAGGGAGACGCTGTCGCGCCTCCTGAGTTTGGTAGCAGCGACGACGAGAGACGCGGTGGTCAGCCCAGCCACTGCATGTATTCGCCAGGTGGCGGATGCAGAGAGGTCCTGTGAGCGGAGGGGATAGGAGGGCGGTAGCCGGACTCACGGATGGGCACGAAGGGGTTCTCCTTGAACTTGCGCTCAAACTTGCCGCCCCATGTCTCTATGGGCATCCCGTTCGCGTCCAACAACACTTCGGGCTCGGTTGCTGGCATTGTGCTCATGATGGCGAGTGGTAGGAGGTACTGTTGAGAGCGCTAGGAGCGGATGGTGTAGGAAGTCGTGGAGTCCGGCCGGTTCGTCCTGATCAGGGGCTCCGAAGAGAGCAAGCACGCTTGAATCGCCTGCGTGTGGGCTTCCAGTGATCGACAAGGGTACGTACACGGCAGCACAGCTCGATGCCGTCGAGAACAGCGACGGCGCAGCGTATGTCTGTAGGAGTCGAGTTGGATGCGGTCAAAGTCGCGTCTCGCGTCGGCGACGGCACGGAGGCCCGGACTCCGGAGCGCCCGCAGCTGTGGCTGGAGATCTACTCCGCTCACCTGAGATCGCTGCAATCACCTCCATTGCGCACGAGGACCTACGCCCGAGCTTGGTCTTCCAACCCTCACGCAACCCGTGCGGGCTCTTCAAGTCCTTCATCAACAAGTCTCCAAGTAGAAACATGCAGTTCACATCCCTACCGCCGGAGCTCCTCACCGGCATTTTGCTAGAGCTCGACTTCCAGAGTCTCTTCCGGTGTCGCCAAGTGAGTTCAGTGACAATACCGGCTCCTCGAAACCTAAACCCGTCTCTTGTAGGTATGTGTCCTTCTGAAGGACCTGATAGACCAAGATGTGCGGCTGCAATACCAAATCGAGCTCGCTGTTGCCGGGATGGAGGACGGCCCGCCCAGCGCGACCACTGCGGCAGAGCGCCTGCGAATGCTCAATGCACGCCAGGATGCTTGGGATAAACTTGCTTGGACGGAGCGAGAAGAGATCCCTATGTCTCAAGGTGGCGTATGGGAGCTCTACGGTGGTGTATTGGCACAGGGGGAAGGCAGCCGTTCGCTCGTATTCAAGCAGCTGCCATCCAAAATCCGCGGCATCGAGGGGAGAACGTGGAGGCTTGAAGACGTCGGTGTCAACATTCGGGACTTCGGAATGGACCCCTCCCAAGACCTGCTCGTCATCATCGAGAATCGACCTGAACAGTGAGTTCTCAGCAAATGTACCGCTGTAGTACGTTCTCACAGACTGAGGAACAGGTCTGGTATGACATGCTCGGTTCACCTGAGATCTTTGGAAACGGGCGAGCCTCATCGCGCTGCGCCGCGTCCAGCAGTAGTCTCGCATCTTCCGCAAGTGCGTGAATATAGCTATGCGATCCAAGTCTCGGAGAGCTATCTCGGGGTCCTCATGACCAGTCATGACGGGGATCATTCTGAGATGCTCATCTGGAACTGGAAGACAGGTCACCGTCACCTTGTAAGCCGCATATTACCGCTTACTCGCGAAGTCTTGCTAACTAGAATGCTGCAGTATCTCACTGGTGCCGACCTCGCCTCCTTCGCGTTCCTCACGTCTCACCATGTCCTTCTGGGCTCTCTTCCGGCGGTGGCAATAGGCGAAGATAATCTCTTCCACGGGGACGACCCGCGCCTCCTGGTCATCGATCTCGAACGCCTCTCTGGCGAGCACGAGATGGACTTCAACGACCTCGACTACCTCTGTGAGTTCCATTACCCCGCGCTCACCGATAACTTTGCCGTCATCGGCCTCTCCATCCGCTCCGACCCCGCGCCGAACTGGACGCCGAGTCCCGGGCTGAAGGTCCCGTTCCACGTCGCCCGCCAGGACCGCCTCTTCGTCATCACCCTCGGCGTCATCCACGGCAACATGCAGGTGATCCCGCTCATCTCCCTCGTCCCGTCCTCGACGTTCCTTGCGTGCTTGGACAAGATCGCCCCTGGGGAGACCCGGCGCGCGTTCGAGTGGTCCGAGTGGGGACCCGCCGGTTCACGCCTCATGCCCGGCCTGCCGACGCACTCGTCCGTGTGGGTGTGCTACGTGTACGGGATGACGTTCGTGATGTCCGCGCGCTCGGGCTCGCAGCGCGTCGTCATGACGCTGGACTTCAACCAGCTCGCCGTGAGGCGTGCACGGCAGCAGGGGCGCAAGCGGGACACCTACTCGGCGATCAACGACGACAACAGGCTGTCTGCGCCGTCGGGCGTCTTCACGGAGGAGGTGAAGACGTCACTGCCGCATATCATCCGCAGGTCGGGTCCGCTCGGCGCAGAGGGCGAGGGTCACTTTGACGCGGCGATGATCAGTGAGGATTCGCTCGTGTTGGTGGCGAGTGTAAGTGACTTCATTGTGCGTTGGTAATGGTCGTAGGCTCACGCTTCCGGCGTTATAGCAATCGCATATCCGGAAGTATCGTATCTTGACGTTCTGAACGAAAAGACGGAACCATAGATGGGTGAAGAATATAAGCGAGAAAGCGGCGTTTTGTAGGACACTCAAAGAGGCCTCCCAGGAGAACCTCCTGAACCTGCTCAATCGCATACATTGTACAATACACTCGACGAGACAGTGTGATCAGAGGATCAAGGACGTTCTGTGATATTTACATTCCATCACAGAACCAAACCAAAACAGCTGCTAGACCAACATGATCATGCCGTCTCCTCCCACTGGTAGTCACTGGGAGCCTTGACGTCCCACTGCGCTTCCAAAGCCACTGTCTTCCCAGCCGGGATGCTGCACACCCACTCATACAATCCGTCCTTCTCGCCGCCTTTCCCGTCAACCACCTTCGTCCAGCGCGCCTTTGCAGTCACATCGTCGCCGAGACTGACTGACACCTCCTCGCCGTCCTTCGACTTCGCGAGCCCCTCGGGCTTCCGGAGCGACACTGCGACCTGGCTGTCGTCGTTCCCGAGCGGGATTGCGTCGCGGACGATCAGTTCGGCGATGTCGAACGTGTGCTGGTTCCTAATCGTCGTAACCGCCGTGCACTTCGTCGTCTTGTGCGGCTCGGCGAAGTTGCGGCGCGGTTCGTGTTCCGTCTTCGAGTCCTTGCGGTAGGATACCTTGAGGGAGGTGTCCACTCCGAGCACGCATCCAAAGCTCTCGCCCACTGGAATGAACTAGGTCCAGGTCAGTCTCACGTTCTCTGAGAAGTAATGTTTTGAAAGGAGACTCACTCCGACCGACGTCTTCGTGACGAAGCTATCGTTCATGAACACGTGTACAGGGCCAGCGAGCAGGTCGTACTCGCTCGTGTTCTTCACCTGGCACACGATGAACGCCGCCTGGCTCTCGCGCGGGACGGACTCGTAGTTCAGGGTGGACTTCAGGTCCAGGATCGCGACGGTGAGCTTGTGCTCTTGTCCATCGCTGGGCAACGACACGGTGCCTCTCACTCGGTATGCGACGGACAATGCGCTGCGCTCCGGGGCGACTGGCGCCGCACGCGCGTCCTCGTGAGTCGCGTACCGTGGACTCGAAACAATACTCCTACTCGGCGAAA